CGCAGACCCCCGCCAGCGGCCCCGGCACCCCCTCGCCCCTGGAGAGCTTCAAACCCTTCCCGGGGATGCGAGCACGCAAGAGCTCCAGCCTCTCCAACGTCCTGGATGAGAGCAGCTACCAGGATGTGCTGCCCAGTGACAACGTCTCCAACACCAGCAACCCCCAGGTGAGCCCCAAACCATCGTGCCCACCACCCTGGGCTATTCTGGACGCAGGACCTCTCACCCTTCCTCGCTTTCGGCAGCAAATGCCCGAGGAGGAGCTGTGCAACCTCTTGACCAACATCATCTTCTCGGTGACCTGGCGCGGGGTGGAGGGCTGGGACGACGCCGCGTGGAGGGAACGCGGGCAGGTCTTCTCCGTCCTCACCAAGCTGGGCACAGCGTGTGAGCTGGTGCGGCCCCCCGATGAGATCAAGCGCAGGTGAGTCCCGCTCAGGTCCCGGGTGGGTTTATCCCGAGGGAGGAGCACCCTACGGAGGCACCTGCTCTCCCACAGCCTGCTGGAGATGATGCTGGAGTCGGCGTTGACGGATCTGAAGGAGTCGGGGCCGGCCGCCCTGCCCGGTCTCGCCCACAACGCCCTCAAGCTGCTGCGGCTGCTCCAGGATTTCTTATTCTCCGAGGGACACAACAACCAGGCTCTGTGGAGCGAGAAGGTGGGTGGGCGCGAGGAGGAGGTCTTGATCTCAAGCCCGAGATCTGCACCCTGATCTTGGCCCTGCAGCCCGTGAGCGTAGCCTTAGAAAATAACTTGTGCCTTGACCCTAAACCCTCACCTGTAACCCATAAACCAAAACCTAATCCTAAACCCTAACCCTAGCCCTATGCCCTTGCTCTGACGCCCAGTCCTATACCCTCACCCTAAACCATAAACCCAACACTTAATCCAATCCTACGAATTAACCATAAACCCAGATCTGACATTTTAACCCTATATGCCAAGATCTAATCCTAAACCATAACTCATAACCTGTAAATCTAACCCTAACCCTTGCTGTTCACCCTAACCCTACGCTCTTGCTCTAAAGCCTAACCCTGATCCCAAGCCCTACCCCCTGAAGCTAAACTTCAAGGTTAACCCTTACCATAATTCCAACCCCCTAGCCCTGTACCCTAAACCCTGACCCCTAATCCGAACACTTAACTCCAATCCTACAATTTACCGTAAACCCGAATCCAATATTTTAACCCTATATGGTAAGATCTAACCCTAACTCATAACCGTACCTCCTTAATCCTAATTCTTAATTCTATATCCCTGATTTAAACCTCAACTCTAATCCCAGTCCTAACCCTTGACCTTACACCGTCGCCATAAACCCAGACCCTAGCGAGTTCGTCGTTAGAGTTACGAGTTTAAACTAAAAGAGAGGTTTAAACTGGATATAATGAAGAATTTTTTCATGATAAGGGTAGTGAGAAGCTGGCACGGGTTGCCCGGTGAGGTGGTCAGTGATGCCACATCCCTGGAAACGTTCAAGGTCAGGCTTGATGGGGCTTTGAGCAACCTGATCTAGTTGAAGATGTCCCTGCTCACGGCACGGGGGTTGGACTAGCATAGGATAGAATCACCGAGTCATTAAGGTTGAAAAGACTTCTAAGATCAAGTCCAACCATCAACCCAACACTACCATGACCACTAAACCATGTCCCCAAGTGCCACGTCTGCACGTGTTTTGAGCTCCTCCAGGGGTGGGGACTCCACCCCTGCCCTGGGCAGCCTGTGCCAGTGCCTCACCGCTCTTTCTCTGAAGAATTTTTTCCTAATATCCAATCTGAACCTTCCTTGGTGCAACTTAAGCCCATGTCCTCTTGTCCTTGGGAGAAGAGACTGACCCCACCTCACTAGAACCTCTTTTCGGGTAGTTGTAGAGAGCGAGAAGGTCTCCCTTCAGTCTCATCTTCTCCAGACTAAACAACCCCAGGTCCCTCAGCTGCTCCTCACCACACTTGTTCTCCAGACCCTTCCCCAGCTTCGTTGCCCTTCTCTGGACCTGCTCCAACACCTCAGTGTCTTATACTGTGGCACCCAAAAGATGACCTGCCTAGATGATCTTTAGAGGTCCCTTCCAACCCACTGCACTCTATGATCATGCTGTGATGACGATGACGATGATGATTCCACTCTGCCCCTAAACCCTTAATCCTAACCCCTACCCATAACCCAAACCCACGTCAGACAAAGCCAAGGGCGTTTGGGTGATGGGGACAAACCTGGTGGCTTTGCTTCCACCCAGCCATAAAGGTGTGTAGAGGCACCTGACCAGGTGGGGGTCTCGCTGTGCTTCTCCCCACCCAGATCTACGAGGGGCTGAGCAGTCTGCTGGACAAGCTGGGTGTCTGGTACCACCTGGCCAACGGCACCTCCGACCTCAAGGAGATGGCCCAGACGGGTCTACGCATCCTCGTGGGCTACATCATGCTGCAGGACCCTCAGGTAGGTCACCCTTTCCTAGGGTGAGACCCCAGCCCCTCGGGGCGGGGCAGGTGGTCCCACCTGATGTCCCGTGTCCCCACCACCACCAGCTGCACTCGTTGGCCTACGTGAAGCTGCACAGCCTGCTGCAGACCGCCTCAGCCCCCAAAAAGGACGAGGCTTGCTATCTCCTGGGCAAGCTAGAGACCCCGCTGCGCCGCTCGCTGGACACCAAGTCGGAGACCTTCTCCTGGTTGGTGCCCATCGTCCGTACGCTCATGGACCAGTGCTACGAGACCCTGCAGCTGCAGCTCTTCCTGCCCTCGCTGCCTCCCACCAACGGCAGCCCCACTTTCTACGAGGACTTCCAGCTCTTCTGCACCACCGCGGAGTGGAGGGGCTTCATCGAGAAGCACGTGGGTGCTGTGGGGTGATGGGGTGGCATCACTGTTGGGGGAACACCTTTCCAGGCTTAGAGATGAGTCCATGCTGTGGTGGGGTCCCCTGTCACCACCACTAGGTTGGGAGAGTCTTCAGGAGTGACCTCCAGAGAAGGGGTGCTCATAGCCTGGGTGATGGTTGGTGGGTGCCAAGCTCTACAACCCACTCCCCTCTCATCCTGGTTCTCTTGATAGGTGCAACCCACCATGGCCCAGTTTGAGATGGACACCTTCGCCAAGAGCCACGACCACATGTCCAATTTTTGGAACGCCTGCTACGACGCCATGATGAGCAGCTCCCAGCGGCGGGAGCAGGAGAAGGCGGCGAGCCGCAAGATGTTCCAGGTACTGGCTCTTACTCACCCGTGGGACATCAAGGGGGCTGGTTAGCTCAGTGGGTTGAGCGCGGTGCTGACAACAATGACAACACCGAGGTCACGGGTTCGATTCCTGCTCGGTCCCCATGTGTTGCCTGGTCTAGTCAAGAGGTGGCGTCCCTGCCCAAAACAGGGAGGTTGGATTAAATGATCTCTAAGATCCCTTCCAACCTAGGCCATTCTTTGATCACCCTGGGGACATGCTCCTCATCCCAAGGATGTCCTCCAGGGGATGTGCTCCTTGCACGGGGGATGCCATCCTAGGAACGTGCTCCTCTCCCAGGGGATGTTAATCCTGGGGATGTGCTCCTCACCCTGAGGATGTCATCCTGGGGTCATCCTCCTCACCTGGGGACATGGTCCTCAGGATGTGCTCCTCATACCGAGGACATCATCTTGGGGATGTGCTCATCAACCCAGGGATGTTGTTTGAGGGATGTGCTCCTCACCTTGGGTACCTGCTCCTCACTCCAGCGACATCATCTGGGGGTCGTGAGGATGTGCTTCTCACTCTGGGGATGTTCTCCTCACCTTGGGGACATAGATACTAGGGATACTCTTCATCCTGAGGACATCCTCGCTCTGGGGACATCATCCTCATCCTGGGACATTGTTCTGGGAACATGTTCCTCATCCTGGCTGCATTGTACCAGGGATGTTCTCATCATCCCAGGGACATTGTTCCAAGGATGTGCTCCTTGCCCTGAGTACATGCTCCTCACCCCAGGGACATCATTCTGGAGACATGCTCCTTGCTCCGGGGATGTTGCCCTAGGGACATGATGCTTGCCCCAGGGACATCAATCCTGGGAATGTGCTCTTCATCCTGGGGACGTGCTCCTTGCCCTGGGGACATTATTCTCGAGAGGTGGTCCTCATCGTGGCGATGTTGTTGTGGGGATGTGCTCCTCATCCCAGAACCATTATCCTTGGGGTGTCCTTATCATTCTGGGGCTGTGCTCCTCACCCAGGGACATCATCCCAGGGACGTGCTTCTCACCCCAAGTACATCATCCTGGCGATATTCTCCCTGCCCTGGGGTTTGTCACCCTGTGGACACGCTCCTCGCTTTGGGGATGTCCCCAAGCCCTGCTGTCACTTCACTCTCCCGCTTTCTTGGCAGGAGCTGGTGCTGGAGCCGGCAGCCAAACGTTCCAAGGCGGAAAACGCCCGACACGCCAACGTGCTCAAGCAGGCCAACAACCACCACAGCACCGTGCTGAAGCAGTGGCGGTCCCTGTGCCGCCTCCTCACCTCACCCCGCTCCGCCTGGGCTGACCGGTGAGCCCCCACCTCAGTCCCCATGGAGGGGTGGCACACTTGGGTGTCCTCAGGGTGTCTCAACCCCGCCTGCCCCCTCAGGAACCCACCAGAGGTTCGCTGGAAGCTGTCGAGCGCCGAGACCTACTCCCGAATGAGGCTGAAGCTGGTGCCCAACCTGAATTTTGACCAACACTTGGAGGCCAGCGCCCTACGGGACAACTTGGGTGAGGCGTATGGGAGTGGGGCACCCAAGGGTCCCTTCTTTTGGATGCACGTGGTGGGGTTGAGCTGGGAGCTGGCCTAGACCCTGTTGGGGTTGAGGGGTGGGATGGAGGCCCTTCACAGGCTGGGGAGGGGACAGGAGGGCCTGCTTGACCCCCATCTCATTTCAGGAGCCGACCATCTCCACAACCCCACGGAGTCCCTCCCGCTCGCCATGGCCAAGGAGGCCAAGGTGAGCGAGCTGGAGGATGATCAACTGGCCGAGGAGGACCTCCCCGTCCTGGACAACCAGTGAGTGTCCCCATCTCCTGCTGTGGCGCTGGCTTTGCCCAGGCCGGAGGTGTCACCAGGGTCTCTTGGCCTTCCCCACGTGTGACCCAGGGCTGAGCCCAAAGAACAGAACCAGCGAGAGAAGCTGGTGGTCTCGGAGGACTGTGAGCTCATCACGACGGTGGCTGTCCTCCCCCGCCGCCCTGTG